TTTATAGAAAAGTAGACGCGCCCTGAAAGGCAATAAATGCTTCATACGCTTGAGAAGCCCAAGCCTCTGATTGATTTTCCCAGTTAGGTGTTCAATATGATCAGTCCATCTGAAATCCGAAGATATATGTATACCGAGGTATTTAAAGCTGCGAACATTACTTATACTATGATCTAAAATTGAGACAGTCAAATCTACTTTGCTTTCGCGTTTCCTATTACTACCGATAAGCATGCATTTAGTTTTGTCCAAATTTAAAGTCAGTTTGTGATCATGAAGCCATTTCGCCACACCCAGTAGATCGTTATTTAACTTATCACTCAAGTCCTTTGAGGATGTACCATAGCAGTAAATCACAGTGTCGTCTGCATACAGTGACGCGTAGCAAGAGTTAAGCACATTTGGCAAGTTATTTATGTAAATTACAAACAACAGAGGCCCTAAAATGCTACCCTGTGGCACCCCATGCGTGACTGGAAGTTCCTCAGATAACTTATTTCCACATGAGGTGTACTGTTGTCTACCAGTTAAGTAAGAACGGAACCAATGAAGAGCTGTTTCAGAAAGGCCGATCTCGGATAGTTTGCATAACATTATTTGATGGTCTACCGTGTCAAATGCCTTGGCTTAACAGCCACAGCACAAGGGAAAATGTGAGGCAGTGAAAGAAAGCCACACTGACTGGAGATGTTTTCGAAGTTTTCGGAATTAAAGCTGTAGTCGGATCACATGCGTAATACATTTGCAATTTCTCGAGAGTGAAGGCTATTATTTACCTAAAAATTGATTCGTAAGTGCCTATCTGGGCTATCTGCATTAGCAGACAGAACCAGAATTCTCTTGACAAAATCAAAGGACAAACTGTGTCATGACGAATTTTTGTCTCGATTTTTGCTGTCAAATTTCGTTAGCGCTTGATCTGCTCATAAGACCAGCTGGCATAGTTTGCAAATGGACTCAAATTCCAGTTTCAAGATTCATCATACGTCGTTTCAAAGTTTTTAAATCCACGAGTTTCGCGACAAAAGAAAGTTAATGCCTTCCAAGTAAATTTTAGTGAGTTAAGGAACAAGCTGGTGGCAGCTTTTACGACAAATGGCGTCGAAGACTCAGTCTCCTTTCACTGCCTCAAATCCTTCTTTTTGCTCTGGATGCTAAGAAATACTTTACTACATTTCCAGTGTCCTCGCAGGTGCTCTGATGTTCAGAACGTACCAATAACTGTTTTATTTTTTCCAAATCAGGGCTGAAATACCCAAAGCCACTCCAATACCTGATCCGCTTACGTTTGGCAAGTAAGCGGGCCGGGTGAAATTCATCAAATGTGTGATCCGTATTGCACAAGCGGCAAATACAACTTTCCCATCTATTCCTTGAGCCTATGCGGGATGGTTGAAGCTCGACGATTTAGCCTTCTTTAATTTTCCATTGTACCCTTTTTTTAACAGTAACCCTCAAGTTATTACTAAAGCTGAGAAGCCTCTGCCTACATTTAAAGCAGAAGCTAGAAATGATCGGAAGAATTGCCGGTGTCACAGCGGATTTGGACCCCCCCAGTCCAAATCCGCCAGCGGATATGAACCCCCCTTCGCAGATTTGGGCCCCCTCTACCAAACTTTCCTATTAAGCATCTTTTGTATCATATTTGGTAACTAATTCTATTTGCAAGCTTTTTTGTCGATGTTCTTTTCAATCACAACACAACATTTCCTCAATAAAGGTAAGAAAAGAAAACAAGAACAGCCATTTCGTTCCAATTCTACCGCATTCATTATAGTGAGTCGAACACTATACGCAAGAATTAGATGCGAACAAATCACTGCATTCGAACTATTGAAATTGTTACAATAAATCATTGCTTCTTCTGATGCGAATCAACATTGATACGAACGTCATAACAATAGTGGAGACTATTGCGTCCAGTCACAAAAATAACTCAGTCTGATTTTCTAAAATAATAACATTAAACAATTTTTGAACAAGAACAAAGAAGCTACTCGTATTACAAGTCGTTCGTAAAGCCTATGATAAGTAAAAATGTTTCTATTCTGAACTATTGGAACTCTCAGCTTATTTTCAGATGCAAATCAACGTTAATGTCAACGTCTTAACAAAAGTGGAGACTATTACATCGAACTCAATCTTATTTTCTAATTTTAACGATTATTAACTGTTAAGGGATCCGAAATAACACCTTAACAATTACGAAGACGTCTAGAGTCTGGCAATCTGCAGACAATGCAAAGCATCTCGTCCTTCGAGGCAGTCTTAAATCCCTCGCACTGTACCATGTCGTCCCAACACTCGGGCATTGAACAATGACAAAATAAATTAGTGTCACAAGTTTGTTTCTTATTTAATCTAACGGTGCTCGACTGTCGCGGAAAAGGTTCAAAAACGACCTCTCTCCAGACATTGAACTAAATTCTTGCCCATTTTCCTTTGGTCAAAAGAAACATCCGACAGGATGCCAGTTCGTATGCATTAAAGATACGCGTGTTTTGAATTGAAAACATACTTTAGTACGCTCTGGAAAGTAAAGTATCATCCATTTTTACTAGAACGTTGAGGACGATTTTTTCACTCAGTTTTGTTGGGGGTCCAAATCCGCGGAGGGGGGTCCATATCCACTAGCGGATTTGGACCAGGGGGTCCAAATCTAGGGGGTCCAAATCCGCTGGGACACCGGCATGACAATGGGGCTAATCGAATTCGGGAACAAATGGATCTAGAAATGACCTTTAACTACTTCATCAAACGCAATGATTTGACAGCTAAAGAAAGTTGGCAGATCAAATGTCACATATAATTTTCTTTCAGATAAGATGGCCTAAACCTATCCCCAAACAAATTTCCCGAATACTAAATGCTGGAGAGAAGTTAATACCAAATCTTCATTTGAACACTATTATTTCAATTGATTTACATTGGTCTGGAGACAAATTACTTGTGTTTTACTGATTAATTGTATTTGAATAACAGGTTAACCAGACTACAAGAATTAACATCACTTCCCCTTTATCAGGGCAAAAGAAAGCTTATAACACCCTATGGCATCAATGTAAATTCCCAACGCGTTTTAATTAATTTTTTCTTCTTTGTTCTTTCATTTTAAAATCTCGTATTTTCTACTTCTCGTAACTAATACTCTAGATTATTAAGCACGAAGCACGAAGCTTTGGTATCACATCTGAGTCCGCTTTGGAATGCCGTTCTTACTTATACATTTATTTCTCATTAATCTGTACGTGACATGGCATTGAGCTCTCAAATCACCTGCTTCTGCCATGAAGGCATATTCATTTCGCAATAAGAAATTGTAGTTTTACTAGAACATATATATTTCTTATATATAGGCGGCTGCCTATTTTTTGTTCTCCTGCCTACTGGAATTTTCCTTTTAATTTGTCGTTTTTTCAAGATCAGTTTTTTAGGCTGACTTCTTAAGTATATATTCCATTCGATAACTACAGGGCGACCATAAACGCCACTCATAAATGTCTGCTTTGCATGACAAAGGGTCAATTGCTTAAAAAGCACCATTATAATGAGAAAGAGATGCGAACTCCTTTCGGATTCGTAGACTAAGAAAAACAACTTATCAGTAATTAGGAGCTGAAAATTCTAAAGAAATTGAAAAGCCAAATGAACATAAATGTGGTAAATATCACGCGCTATTTAAGAGCAAAAAAAGAAAGAAACAGAGAAAAACTTAAAAACGGGGCGTCGGAACTCTTTTTGGATTCGTAAACTAAGGTGGATTGCATTTCCTATGAAAAAAAAGTTATCAGTAATTAGGAGCTGAAAATTCTAATGAAGTTTAAAAGCCAAACAAACATAAATTTGGCAAACATTACGCACTATTTACTCTTTCCTCCCCCGTTTTTACCAGTTATTAAACAACTGACATTTGCGTAGACGTGCTCTGGACCCGCACGAACTTTGAATATATTTTACCACGCTAAATGATTCAGGTGTCCTCTTGTTGTTTGAATAACTGAACAAGAATAGCCTCAGGTTCACCTCTATGCATTACGAGATGATAGTTGGTTCTACAATAAAAGAGTAAATATGAAAATAAAACAGACAAAAAAAGGGGAAAAAATTGGGGAACTCATAATTCAGTTTTAGGAAACGAGGTCAAATAAGACAAGTTAGACAAGTTGGAGGCAAAAACAATATGTATAAATAAGAAAAATGTGGTAAAAAGTATTCTCATAATCGTCAGAATGAATCGAAGATGTCTACTTCTGATATCAACTGACATTAGACAGAAGGATTGGAATTAGGCACAACGAGGAAATAAAGAGTTGGTCAATGCTTAGCTTGCGTATATCGAGTTTTGGATGCACGCGGGAAGTTTGGAGAGCACGAGAGAAGCGAAAGAGTTGCTCGATGCGCAGCCGAAATAAGTCTGAATTTTTAAAACCTCGCAGCTAACTCAACGGGAACTTTCAGCCGAAGTTTAACTGCACACGTCATGTTAAGGATACACGACCGTGCGTACGCAAGGATTATACCATGGTAGCTCCAAAAGAATTAGGTAGGACTCGCGCGCTCGCTATATTTTGAGAAATTTTTTTTTTTTCTGCTAACCCCATGGAAAAATACAATCGATTTTCACGAGAGCAAGCAAAAAAGTTCAGTTAAAAGAAAGCGAAAATTCTCAGAATTATTATAAGCAAACAGTTATTAGATCATCACCCAGGGCAAAAAATAAGAGTGGAATAAGTGACTCAATTGTATCTCTGTCGCTGAGATCTGCACTATGAATCGACCATCTGACGTAGAGAACAAATTTATCGTGACATGAGACTATTTTCCTTTTGGTTCTCGTGATTAAGCGCGTGGCACTCAGTCCCTCCTTGGCGTTCATCTTAAAATCAACCTAACATTGTTAGACATCTGTGTTAAACTTCAAATTTCCAAGTGCATAGCTTATGATATTCTACCTGTAAGACGTCGTCATCGCTTTCATTCGGTAATTGTGCACTGCGACT